ACAGCCCAGCCAAGGCAGACACTACTGTTTGCTGCTAAAATCTATTCTTCTCATCTGTCTCAATACCAAAATGTTGTCTGGGGTACCAATGTGCCCAATTCTTTCCAGACTATCGCCTACCCAGCAATCATGTGACCTACCCCTGGTCCATAAGGTGCGAGCAGAAGTCTGCAATGATTGCCAGGAGAGTTTTGCTCTCCTGAGGCAGGGGCAGCTCCTCCCTTCTTCCATGCTGCTTTGCTTCTTCCTGCCTGGACTGAGGCTGGAGGTGGAGGAACATCGCGGCAGCCAAGGTGAGGGCCACCATCAGGATGACAGAGCAGAAGGAGATAAGAAGCCTGGGTCCACTGATACCTCTCCAGCCCTGGCCTTCTGGAAGTCTTTGCCCTTCTAATTGCGATGCAGTCCTGATACATTGGCTTATCAAGGCTAAGAATGCCCCTGAGGGGTTAAGTCCGAGTCCCATAATACAAAATAGCGAGCATTGCCCTGGAGGGTCACCTCTCCCCGGGAGGGTCTTATGGTGGCAGCAAACTGCTGGTTGCCCAAACCACTTACTCTAAGGGCTATGCCAGTCTCACAGGTGGTACAAGTTATACTCAGGGTAGGCAGTAAACTTGCCAAGGGGTGAATCCCAAAGAGGTGGCCTCCAGATTCAGAGAACGAGAGCTTGCTGATTTCCATCCTAACTTAGAAGAGCAATCAGATGGGGTGGAGAGGTTGCAATCCGGCATTTTCCCACAGGCCTGTGGAAGAACCAGCTGGCCCCCGGAGCACTGGCATCCAGGAACTCACCGGGCCACATTCGAGACACCACCCTGTGCTGGCCAAGGCATTAATGCTGGCTTCTCTTCCCTCCTTCCAGTCTATGCCTCTATCTCTTTTGTTCCTTCCGTCACGAATCAGCAACGATAACCAGTTACCCAGCTTTCTGCTGAGAGGAGTCAGGAGTCAGCTTGACAGCCTGAATCTAACAAGATGGGTTTAGGAAGGACAAATGTGGATGACGCAAGGGCAGCTGGGGAGGAAGGAGGTCTCACACAGCAGCACCTGTGAAAAAAAATTAGTCTGATCAACTACGAATCACAACTGATGTGGCTGCCAAAAGAAGCTATGTGGGCCTAGGCTGGACAGGAATAGGGAGGCAAGGGCCACTCTCCATTCTGCCCAGGTCAGGCTGCCCTGGAGTATTACATGCCATGCCTGGGCAGGCAGAGCTGAGCACTGGGGCTGAGCCAGCTGGTGTGTGTAACCAGAATCCGGGAAGTAGTGTCCTGGGCGGAGCCAGAGCCTTGAGAAATCCAAAATCTGAGGGCTATATAGAGCCAGGAAGCAGAGCAGGTTGTCAGGGCAGGGACTGCATCCGGCCACTTCTGGGGGAGGTTTCATCTGGATAGGTGCTGTGTACCAGGTGACTGCTGCTCTGAGCCATGTAGGGTAGGGGAGGGGGGTGTTCTGTTTGGGGCACCACATCTCAAGAAAGAGCTCAGGCCAAATGGGCATCATTCACGTGGGAAACCTGGATGCTGAGTGGGAAAACCATGGGAGATGAGCAATGAAAAAACATGCAGATGCAATAAGAGAAGTCAGGGGTATTAGAATGGCATAGTATCCCCAGGAATAAGAGATTAACTTGTTCAGTATGAATACAGAAGGCAGACCCAGGAACAAGGGGTGGCATTTACAGAGGAAAGATTTGTGCCCAGTATGAAGAAGGACTTTATAATAGCACTGTCCAAAGACAGGTCTGCTGTGAGAGGTACTGACTACCCCATGGCTGGAGATATTCAAATAGAGGCTGTAAGGTCACTTGTTAAGGATGAGATCAAAGGATCACCCACAGGTGGGGACTGGAGCATGAGGCCCCTTCCAATCGAGATTCAAGCAAAATGATCGGGCCACCCAAAGACCTCCTGTCTGATCCAGGCACAGTGATCACCCACCATTCCTTCCACCTCACACATCTGGGTCTCCCTCCCTGACCTCTGCTGACAACTTTTCCTGGAGGACAGCTAATGCACTCTGACTCAGCTCTGCCCCTGACCACCCTGTGCCCAACCCCTCAGCCTAACCAGGTGATTTCTACAATCCTTCCAGAAGACTCAGAGTCTCCTGGGATAGCCTTTCTCTCCCTTCAAATGAGCCAGAAGCTTGACTAATGCCTCACTTCCCTTTAATTTTTTAAAATAATAAAGCATTGAATATTTCATGTGATTTATTGAATACTGTACTCAAGTGAAAAAAAGAATGTTTGTATGGGTACAGAATGGTTGTATCACTCCCTTTAATTTGAGGATAAAATCTTTGTAAAAGTATTTAAACTTCCTTTGGGATTATTTTCTCCTCCATAAAAAAATCTCCAGAAATCTCTGAAAGCCATTTTTGAGACAGATTTCATCATTTCTGTGAGTCATTCACTGAAAAAAATTACAGCAAATCTTTCAAAAGCCCTTTAACAGAATCAAGCTACATTCCCTCTTTGATGGGATATCAACTCTTCTTATATGATGTCCTCCAGCAGTTGAAGCCTCACGTCCAACCAAGCTTCTGTATCCTATGGAAATGCTTTTAAGCAAATGTTGCTAAAAACCTCAATGCATGTTCTTCTAGATATATTTATTGGCACAGAAAATAACCATCAATTTTCTAGCTGCTGGGTCTTTGAATTTAACCTGCCACGTGATTTCACTCCTCTCAAATATAAAAGAAAGGGCATTATGTTTTTCCTTGCTTTAGCTGCAAAAGAAGAAAATGAGGTAGCAGAGCACACTAAATTCCCTTGGAAAAGGCAATTTCCAGAAGCTCTCAAAGAAGAAGAGCTGCTTGTTTACTTTGTACTTAATGCTTTCTCTAAATCACACAGTTCAGTGAAGTCTCACGACATTTTAGTTAACTATAGTTTCATGTGCGAGATTTTAAAAGAGCCATTAACCAGGTGATTAAAGTAATGAGATCTGTGACTCCTGATGTGATGCACTAAGAAGGGCACCACCTCACCTGAGTGGGTTTCTTCCAAACACACAAACCTGAATCTAAACACGAGGACATCCCACAGCCCACACTGAGAGACATTCTTCCAAGGTGTTAAGGTCAAGACTGAGGAACTGCCCCTGACAGGAAGAGAGTAAGGAGACATGACAACTAAATGTACTGGGAACCCTGGTTTGGATCCTGGACCAGGAAAATGTCCATTCGTGGGCCATCTGGTGAAACTTGAATCAAGTCTGCAGATTAGTTAATAGTATTATATCAGTGGTAATTTCCTGGTTTGGATAACTGCACTATGGTTTTGTAAGATGTTAACACTTGGGAAGTTAGGCGAAGAAGGGGTTACGGGAAACTTTTGTACTATTTTTACAACTTTTGTATAAGTGTAGAGTTACTTCAAAATAAAAAGTTTAAAACAAAAATCTGATGAAAGATATTCTTCGGTGCCTTGTGTGACATGGGAAGGTCTGTCTTCCGACAACACCTCTGAGTGTCCTTTGCTGGTGGACAGCCGCTATTGAGGGACACCTTTGAGAGTCAAGCCTTATTATGTGTGAAGAGCTCTGCTTTGCCCAGAAAGTGTAACCCTCAAGGTCACCTCCACCCTTCATTTTCTTACCTTGCTCCATTTACTCTATCAGAGAAATTCAGGGTTTTCCTCGGGAGCTGTGACAGGGGTCTGGAGAAGCGGGCAGTCAGCACAGTGGCCACGAGAGGCAGAATGGCCAGGCTCCTCTGGGTGGGTTCTGAAACACAAAATGTGTCCTCAGCATTGTGTTGCTGCCTTCAGGAGTTTAGGCAGAAGGGGCCATTTTCCTTCCAGGTTGTGAAAGTTAAAGTGGGCTCTGTTTGACCCAGGTTCAGTCAAGGCACCAGGCAGTCCCCACCTGCCACCCTCCTCTCAAGCTACAGCCTCATGTGATGAAAAGAGTCAGGAGGCTGGGACATCTAGAAACCTGGGTTCTGGTTCCAGCTGTGCCACCCACTCATAGGGTAACCCTGGGTGAGTCATCACGCTTTTGTAGCATGAGGAGGGTGTAGCACCAGTGACCAGTGACCCTCAAACTAGGCTGTGCAGCAACCACTGGGGCGCCCAGGGTCCCACCCCCTCAGGGATTCCAGCTCCATGAGTCCCATTCTCAGTGTTCCCCATATCCAGCAAAACATCCATCTCAATTTGCCCACATGCCTCCAGGCAGCTTTTTCAGTCCTGGGCCAGGTATCTTTGGATTCAGCTCTCCACCTTTCTCCACCCCACCATGCACAGGGTCCAGCTCTGGGGCTGAATTCATCAGTAACTCATCACAGCATGGAGACTGAAGCTACAAAATGAGACACACTCTAATCAACCTAAATTAAAACACACACACACACTGTCTCTCCCACCACCCTACCACTCCCTTTCCACATTAAATCAAACTTGTTGCAGCAAGGCCATGTGTCAGGAAGGCTACTCAGCATAGTGACTAGCTTCGCATTATGAGTTGTAGATGGGTGTGTGCATTAGTTGTCCTCCTGTTCTGGTTAATTCCCCTCTAGTGATCCCTCCTGGCCTAAGGGAAGGAAAGGGAGGTAGGGAGGGAGCTGAGCAAGGCAATCCCAGCCCTGGGAGCTGTTGCTCTTTTCCTGGGGAACCGCCCTAGTCTCTCTTTGCACACCTGCCTGTGGTTTGTTATACTGCCCTTAACAGTAACAAGGTTCTGCCTGAGAGGCAGCTCCTCCCCTGCCATTTTGCTGCGGTCCCTAATCTGACCACCAGTCACCTGCGCCAGTGGGTCTGTGATAAGTTCACTAACTAGCCAACAACCACAGTATTTACTGCAGAAGGTAGGTGGCGGTGTTTCACCTGTTTAATCTTCAGGAGAGGAAAACAAATAGGGCTCTTTTGTCTTGCGTGATCCTTCCTGGACTGTGCAGTAGGCTCTTGCTCCCGCTCCAGCCCCGACTCGCCACACTCCAGTCTCAGCACTGCAGCCAGAAAGGTCTTTCCAACACCAGTCAGGTACGTACGTGACTCCCTTGACTAAAAGCCTCCTCTCCATGGCTTTTTGGAGCTGGCCTCTGCCTCCCTTCCTATCCGGTACCCCCTCCCCTGTGCTCACTGCTCTGTAGCCACGCTGACCTTCTGAACATACACGGAGCTCTTTCTCGCCTCAGGGCCGTGGACCTTGCCTTTCCTCTCTATAGAGGGCTGAGTCCTTTGGACCCTTCTGACTTCAGAGAGGCTGCCCAATCCCCCATGCAACACACAGGGGTTGCTCTCCATAAGATTGCCCTTCAATCCAAGATTCCCTTGTTTCTTATCTCCCCCTTCTAGATCATAAGCTCAGTGAGGCCAGGCACCTTGTCCATCTTAGTCACCACTGAATCCCCCATGCCTGGAAGAACCTGACACAAAGGAGGCACTCAGTGAGTCCCTGCTGAGTGGGCGTGAGCTGTGTGCTCGAACCTCACCCCCATCCCCACACACAGACTGGCCCTTCATGGAAGGCACAGACCCATGCTGTGGGTGCCCCACACCCCTCCCACGTACTGACCGGCTGGCTGAGCACAGACATATCTGCCTCTTCCCTCCAGGACTGGAGTCTGAGGTCACCACCACTGGGTGATTTAAAATCCAGTCGTCTGTAATTCAAGCGCTTTCCACCCCTTCTACTCAATGCCTGTGGCACAGAATGCCTCAGTGTTTGCCTCAATGTCTCTCCAAACAGAGAGCTGCTTTTAATTTTATTTTCCTTTGAGTCAGCAATATCTAAAAGCACTGGTGTCAAGATAGCTTAAATTGCATGAAAACTCAGCCCCTTTAATAATGCACTATTCACAATGTAATCTCTCATATACACAATGCTAGAATTTTAGATATCTTTTTCTTCTACTACTTTTTTACATTCCTTAAATATGTTGCTATTTTCACCCCAAACACAATGCTATAGGCAGTGGAATTCCTGTACTCTTCAGGGCTGTTTGTCATCTTAATGTCTTGTACTGGGCTTTAGTCTCTGTAAACAGTTTCTCAAACTTGAAATGCCACTCGGTTGCCTTTTGGTTTGGAAACAGAAATGGTCGTGGGAGGCGGGCGCTGCAAGGGGACAGGCAGAGCCCCTGTGAGGGCGGGGACCACCTCTTTAGCTTTGGATTCAATTAGTTGCTCCAGGGTGACCAAATTTATATGATACTGTTGCAAAATCAAGATGTTCACGTATTATTCTGGAATCTGGGAGAAACTTTTCGAACTCTAAGAACACTTAGGTCTGCTCTCAAGGGCACCTCCTTTCCATTGTCAATGCAAAACCCACGTGTAGCCCACGGAAAGCATCCCCTCTCCAAAAGAAAAAAAAAAAAAACCTGTGTGCATCCTTGTCTTGATGCTGGGCTCACTTGCTGCATTCTGACAGGACTATCTTGCAGAAGACACAGCTCGCTGCATTCCTGTGGGTCAGGGTCAAGGTCTCCCCTGCAAGTGGCAAACATTCCCAGTACTGACATCCTCAGAAGAGGCAGGGCATCGGCAGCAAATAGGAATTCAGGAGGCAGGACTTAGGCAGGAAAGAGAATTCAAGTTTCTGGACATGAAGTCTGGAAGGGCCTTGGTACTACCAAGTGGGAGAGGGAGGTCCTGTTTCACTGGGGAGGGTGAGCTGGGTTTAAGCTAAGAACCATCCTGTGTAGGGACGCCACACTGAGGCGCTCAAAGCCCGTAACCTGTGTGAGAGACTCCAAGGTCTGACAACTGGCAGCCAGTTTCCAACATACTCTACTTGCCTATTTTGTTTGGCCTGCCTAGTGTTTTAAAAGGCAACGTAACGAGGCAGCTATGTTATGCTTGAACTCAATAACAAAAAGTTGTCACTTACTATCTCAAGCCTACCCACATCACCTCTCTTAACTGTCTGGACATTGTGGGCATTAGAGTTTGAGATCTCTTACCAAATAGATGTCTATTATCCTTTGGCTATTTCCCTTCTGATCACTTAGTATAATCTTGCCTAGAAGTTCCAGCTCAGCTCAGCTCAGCTATATGTGTTAATTACAGTTATTGGAGGCTTCCTTGAGGCCATGCAAAAAGGAAACCTGACAAGTTTTAAATCCTTATTCACATAAGATGCCTATTATCCCTTAGAGAGATAACTATTCTGAAACGAAAGTCTAAAGACATTATACAGGAACACCAAATGATATTGTAGGTGACGTTCCCACTACCATTTTATCGTAAATGCAGAAGTGACTTTTATATAGCTGCCTCTAACAGGGACCTTCAATAAAAGCCAAGGATTTAACTTTATAGCCCAGTTCAGTGAAGGCAAACCTAATGCAGACACTTGGATTAGTCTGACAGACACCAGCCACCAGATTAGACTTAGGCGATGGCCATTTCTCTTCAGAGAACACACCACACTCTCAGCAGTTGCCATCTTTCGGGTGTCTGTCTTGCTCAGCTGATCCCTGTCCCTTTCAGACTTGCCTATTGCCCACAGGATTTGGCCTCTGCAGCTGTAGTTGTACAGTGAGACCCTCCCCCCCACCCTCTGGCCATGGAAGAGTGGGTCAGGGAGAGACACCTGACCCCAGATGAATCCATCGGTCTGTCCCCTGGCACTGTGAAAGAATGCAAAGCAGCCTCTGTGGGGCAGAGACATGTGATCTGGTTGCTGGAGTTGGGGGGAGGGGGGTGGGCAGCTATGCGACACTTGAGCCTGAAGCCAGAGAGAGAGATGGAGAAAGCCAATCTGCAAAGAGAGAAAGGAGTCAGGCACACATGTAGAAAGAAGCAGAGATGGAAGTGAAGAAGAGAGAAAAAAACAACAACAGAGCCTCCTGCTCCCGAGACCCAGCTGCCCTCCTGTCTTCAGCTCTGTAAGGCATGTGATGTCTTTATTCTCTGTGTTGATTTAAGCAAGTTTAATGTTTCTGTTAGTTGCAGCCAAAACAATATTGGTGAAAACACACTGAAAGCAGGTTCTTTCTGCAGATCATTATCATTAATTCTTAAGCTTGCCTGATATTCTGAGAATGCCACACTGTAGACCTCATAATGATAACAGGAACAGGAGCCTCTCCCTCTCCACTTCTGTCCAGGAAACATCTGTCCTTCCCCAAGAGAAAGTGTTACCAGAGCTATCAAAATGGCCATAATTACAACCACCAGGTTAAGCAGGCATTCCATCCCTAGGAGAACAGGGCTTGCCTACCAAATTCAAGTCAGACCTGTACACAGTAGGCACATAATATTTGAATGACTTAAGAGTTTTCAGCAGAGGAATACCATATCAGGCTTATATTTTAAAATGATAACTCTCACTGGGTTAAGAATAGACTGAGGATGGACAAGGGCAGAAGCAGGGAGACCATTTAGAAGCTATGGCAGTAACCCAGGACCATAATGTACAGCCATGCAGGTTGTGCACTGCAGAACTCCAGCAAAATGTGAAGAGGTACTCCCTGGACATATATATAAGGGCTGCCAGCCCCGGTGGAAACCATGGAGCTAATTAGACGTGGTCAGAGTCTGGCTGTGTTTTGAAGGTAAAGCCCACTGTGATTTACTGACCAATTAAATGTAGGCTATGAAAGAAGGAAGAATCAAAGATATTTCCAAGATTTTTCGTGCAGATGTAAAAAAATGACATTAGTACAACTGACAGTTTAAGGAGCCATCCTATTCATAAGCGCTTACATTTCAAATCAGAGCGTACAAGCCCAGCATCCTGGTCCTCAGCAGGCCCCTCCAAGTCATATCTCCAACTATACTTCTCTCAACTACTCATTATACCATTTGCCACCATCTCTCAATAAGCCCTGTACTTTCCAATTTTTGTGCCTTGCTCATCCTATACCAAATCTGAGGTCTCCTTCATCCAGTAAGCCCTAACTGATTCAAATAACCTCCTTCAAGAAACCTTTCCTGATCCCCTAAATCAAAAATCAATCTCTTGTTGCGGGACTTCCCTAGCAGGTCAGTGGTTAAGACGCCGCGCTCCATATTTGCATTTTCACTGCTTCCTTATGTGCCTCTGAAATAGCACTTAACCTAGGCCGGGTAGTATTAGAGGTATCTCTGCTTATAACCATTCACAGCACCCCGCTCCGCCATCTGACCACCAGTCTCAACCTGGATTGTTTCATTGACCTCCGGCTCATCCAGAATGACTGCTCTGGTGTCTGACAGGAAGCAGCCACTCTGTAAATGTGTATTGAGAGACTATGCGAGCTACACTCATTTCAAAGTTCAGCTTCCTCGCCCGCCACGGGTATATGCCCTGGGCACGGCCGGGCTGCAACGCTCTGGTAGAAAGTGCTAGGATATTTGATGCGTCATAAAGGATCCTGGCAGCCGGAAGCCCACCGTAACGAAACGTGTGCCTCTGTAACCCCTGGCAGGGTTAGACGGGGACTTTGTATCAGATGACTCTGGGCAGATTTTGGCAGACTGGTTGGAAAACACCACGCAGAGCTCAAATGAGCTCAACGTCCCGCGCGGCTCCAAACCCTCCCCCAGCAGGGCGCAGACCGCCCGGGTCCCTGTCTCTGACAGGGACGCCCTGTCAGAGACGGGGGACGCCAGAGACTCGCCGGCGCCAACTCGCCCAGCGCGCCGGCAGCCCCGCGTCCGGGTCAATCGCAGGGCCGCAGCCCCTTCCGGCAGACCAGAGGCTGGGAGCCGAGGGGGCTCTGCCCGAGCCACGCTCCCATTGGCTGAGACCGCACCGCCCAGACCAAGTTGAGCTGTTCCCGCACCTGTGAGCGGCAGAGGCTCCGGGCCTTCCCCGGCCGCGGGCCCACCACCAACCCAGCATCTCCGGCCTGCGCCCGCGGCGCCTCCAACTTGCTCGGTCCTCCTCCTCCCCCGGTCCTGCGGCCTCTGCGGTCCTCCAGTGACAGCCGGCTCAGCTCCTGCTCAAGGAAACTGGACCGGCGGCCTGACTGCTGTCCAGCATCCTTCCCGAGGGCGCAGCTTGAGGGGAGGAAGCACTCCCCCTCCCCCCAACCAAGTCCCCGAGAACAGAGCCTCGTGGAGGACGCGACAGGAGGACGAGGGATGAGGGAACAACCAGAGAGATGCGGTGAGTAAGGGAGCAGTGCCTAGATCTCAGGCTAGAAGGCAGGGCTACTGGCTTCGGTCCTGGCTCGGCCTCTGACTACGATGTGACCTTGGGCCGGTTTCTTCCCTTCTCCGGGCTGGGCTCGTCTTCTGTAAAATGCGGCGTCAGAGAAGGATAAGTGTTGAGGGTTTCACCTGGGAGACTCGGGGCCGCGTGTTCAACCTAGGCCTCCCCCTGATAAGCACATTTTCTGAATAACAAACGTCAGGCTGGGCTCCCAGAGCACGGACGGAAGGCCCGGGAGGGCGGATGATAAGGATCACCTGGGGTTGAGAAGGCTCTGGGCGGGATCGGTCCATCTTTACATCGTTACTTCGGCCGCGGCCGCAGGGCCCAGCCTACAGGACTTGGTGCCCCCTTTTCCACTCGCATCCCCGCGACCCGAGTAAAGGGCAGTGCAAGTCCAAACCAAACCGAGCATCACGCCGGTTTAGGGGGGCGCCGGCTCATCACGCCCGAGCTTCAGAGATGCGGACCCCTCCTCTTACCACAAACCAAACTGGCGCGGGGGCTCCAGCTGCTGAAGGCTCAGCTGGTGCGTTCTCAGGTACCCGCGCTCGCCTCTTGTACCACCGGGCACTACCGCCGTTTCCTTCTCGAAGCGCCTTACTGGCTCCCACTCCTGCGGCCTCCAGCCTCAGCTGCCGGGGTGCGCCTGCGCACAGGGGCTTTGCTCCGTAGGGCTGCGCGGGGCGGAGCCCGACGGCTGGCGCGCAGGGGCGGGGAGCCTCTGCGCCGCCTCCTTCGCCTTGCGTCGTCAGGCCTGGCCCTCCTCCCGCAGAGGGTATTCCTATTCGCTAGGCGCCCGGCCCGGGATTAACCCACTACCGCCCATTTTAGGTCTAAACCGCGCTCTGATCTCCTCCACCGCCATCCTGGTTCTGGAACGAGCGGGGAACGATATCACTCCGCGGGTTGCGGGTAGGGAGGTGGAGGTGCCGCTCCAGGAAGTGAGAAAACCTGGTGAGGTTGAGGCGCCTTTCCAGGTCCTACGCCCACTTGCTGTCTTTGGAGCTTATTGGGGTGGGTTGGTTTGTTGGTTTGTTTTTAAATTTGTCGTTTGGTCAGATGAAATTTATTTAAAATTTTCTTCCTATGATTTAAAAAAATAATTTAAGAATAGCACAGCTTCCCAGAGTTTCAACAACGGAACATCGGAGGCCAATCTGTCACAGATCATGCTCCCCTGCCAAGTTTCCAGGATGAGAAACCGGCTGAGGAGAAGGAACCTATCAGGGCAAATTAGTGGCAGAGCTATGTTTAGGTCAAATTATAGAGAAGGGCTGATTGGAAAGGGACCAGGCAGATGAAAACAGGAAGGAAGGAAGTGCCTGGTGGGGCTTTAAAGAAACCTGTCAGCTCCGTTACGTGAGCTTCTTGAGGGCTGAGGCTGTATCTTCCTTATCTCTGGCTCCTGGCATGTAGAGCTTTGAAGACCAGGAGAATCATGAAGGTAGGATGCACTTGGTTCTCCGTACCCATTTCACAGACCGACTCAAGCTTGCATCAGCGCTGTGGTTCAGAATAGTCACTGTTACAGCATGCCGTAGCCATAACATAAATCCTTATATTGGGTCACCAGGTTACACTTTGAGGGTTATGCATTGCTAGAAAAGCAGTTAACTAAAGGAAGAGTTATTATTTCCACTAGGAAAACCATAGATCCTGACTTTGGACTGAGAATTAATGGAAATAAAGTTCTATTCATGAAAGACAAGGACAGGACAGTTGATCTGTCTACGGTTATATCCGACTTCACCTGTGGCTGACCTCACACCTTCCCAGCCCCACTTTTTATTCCAGTTTTGCTCTGGCAACCAGCTGCATACAGGTGAAACCTGAGAGCACCTTGCCTCAGCTGTACCTGGTATCTTCCCCACTCGGGGCTTCTCTGTCACTGCAGCCTGGGACCCCTACAGGAAGCCGAAGCCCATTTTGACACATGCATAAACTTGGAAGTGCAAAGGAATTAACACGTCCTAGGACGACGTTTGACCAAGGCAGACAGGAGCTGGTGGAGAACTATTCCACTCTTCCGTTCTTCCAGTGGGCAGTCCCAAGGTACGTTTTGTACAGCACCTAAGATGATAGACCCCTGGCTGCCCACAGTAGTGCCCAACTTGATCAGCTCAATAATGCACCCTTGGATCGCTTTTCTCTTTCCTGTCTTGACTGTTTGACTCTTCCAACTCCTCCACACCTGTTCCTCGGGATTCGTTCCCAAAATAAACTACCTGTATCATGAAGGTAGGATGCACTCTGAACAAGTTCTTGTTCAGAGTTTGTTTTGGGGTGAGGGGGGAACCCAGACTAAGCCAGTGGTTAATCCAAAAGAGTCATCTCAACAGGGAACTATATTCAATATTCTGTGATAAACCATAATGGAAAAGAATATGAAAAAGAATGTATATATATGTACAACTGAATCACTTTGCTGAACAGTAGAAATTAACAACATTGTAAATCAACTATACTTGAATAAAATAAATTAAAAACCACACACACACAAAGAAGATCCCAAAAAAACCCAAAAAACCCCAAAGAGGCATCTCAGCCCAACTTTCGGGGTCATTCTCAGCAGACCTTTCCCAAGTCTGCTAATGAGGAATCCATTTGTTCTGTTTGAGCTTTTGCTCTTTTTATTGCCCTGCTGCCCTGCCCTTTAGGGCATCATTAATAAACTCTCAGAGGCAGGCAGGAAGTATCAGAGACTCCCAGGAGACAGGGCCAGCTGAAGGGCTGGGTCTAGGTTAGTATTGGACAAAGCCATTCTCGGCCTTACCTTAAACATTTTCCCTCCTTCCAAGGTAGGTCCTGTTTGCTGACCTTGAAACGAGAAACTTTCAGCTCTGGGGTTGAACATGGAAGCAGAGACAGGGTGGGACCCAGGTCACTCCCAGCACAGCATGTGCCCAGAATACGTCTCTTTTTTGCCCTCCCTTTCCCCCTTGCCCCTGCTGTAAAAGCAGTTCCTCTGCTCAGATACAAGGTCTCAGGCCAGGGTCTTTGGCACCTAGCACACTTCATCTCATTTCAATACCAAGAGGGTGCTGTTGCAAATTACTAAGCTAGGTTTGGGAGGAAAGAGCCCTTAGTCCCAGCCTTCAAGAAGGGAAATGGGACATGTACATAAGCTAAATGAATCCTTAGAAGCCCTGTAAGTCTTCTAAAAGAGGGACTTGTAAGTGTAGTGGGAGCTCTGGTGAGGTTTCAGGACAGGATCTGTAGAAAGGTAGCATCCTGAAAGACTCTCAGAATGAAGTCCCCTCAACAGATCCCCCTCCTAATGGATTACTCATTAGCAGACTTGGGAAAGGTTTGCTGAGAAGGACCTTGAAAGGTGGGCTGAGATGCCTCTTTTGGATTAACCATTGGCTTAGTCTGGGTTCCCCCTTGAAACAGACCCCTGTCCAGAGAGCCACAGTGTTTGCTCCTGTCCTTCTATCAGCTCCTAATTGCCTCCTAGCTCACACCCTTCTTGAATCCCAGATCAGACTAATCATTCATCTTCCTAGGCCCCAGCCCTCCTCTGCTAGATCTGGCCCTGCCCCATCTCTGAATACCCCTGCTCTTCTCTGTCTTCAGTGTTGTGTCTAACACCAGATGGTGCAAGTTAAATCCTGCCCTTAGCCAGCCACGTGGGAACCCTCCAGGAGCCCACGAGTGCAGTGCTCTGTGCTGAGTTCTACTGGGGGGTAGAGAATCACAACACCATTTACCATCCCAAACACTACAGGTCTTCCGTTTGTTTAATGCAACTGAATTTTCTTTAAAAAAAAAAAAATTTTTTTTTTTTTTGGCTAGAAATCATGTCCTTAATCTGCAGAATTTTAGAAGTGTCAAGTAGCTTTTTCTATAATTTACAGTGAAGGAACGAAAAAGCCCAATGTACTATTCTAAACAAACTGTGATGCTCAGAATCTTGTGTGCTGAAGAGCCCTGGATCCTAACATGACCATAACACTGAATTTTGCCCATGGATGAGAAGTGGAGGCCCAACCTTCTCCCTGCAGTGACTGAGCAAGTAGATCGAGGGCTTGGACCTTATGGGGAAATAAAGGGGTGTATCGGACACCCACATCCCCACTCCCTTTCTGCCTCTTGACTCTAATGTATTTAATTAAAATGATTGTTTGTTTAAGCCACAGAGTTGTGGGTTTTTTTCTTTTTGTGTGTGTATTGCAGAGGGGGGAGTAGTTTGGAAATTTAACCAAAGTTATTTTGAGGTAATTGGGACCTTTGAAGAGGGAAAAGTATGAGGAAATAAAAAAACAAGTGTGTCCCCACCTCTGCCCATCCACCCCAAGCTACAGCACTGCATGAAACCCCTTCCTTTGTGCAGCTTAGCTTGATCAAGCCCTTAGATCCCAGGCATTGTGCTTTGTGTTGAGGATGCAGTGATAACCCAGTGCGGGGTCTCTGTCTTCAAGTAATACAATTTAGCAGCTAATGACTGATCGCTGCGTACCAAACACTATGCCAAGTGCTTTGTGTGCATTTTTTCACTTAATCTCTGCAGCAGTCCTAAAAGTGACCTAAGAATATCCCCATTTTCCATCTGAGGAAGTTGAGGCCCAGAGAGGTCAAATAATTGCCCACAGCAACACAGCTAGGAAGTGGCAGAGACAGAGTGCGCACAAGTCTGTCCCACTCCAAAGGCTTTCTTTTAGCACATCGCCAACTGTTCTAAGGTTCTTGCTTTGACAAAACGGATAAAAATCCCAGTTTATAAGGCTATTTGGAGTACAGAATTTTTTATAACCAGTTGGGCATTGTTTTGTGAGTAATCCTAACAGAAGCTGGAATTGCTTTGTTACATTGAAGTTCCTTTCGGTGAGTACAGTACAGAAGCCAAGATCTGATGCACTCAACTAGGGAAAGAAATTATAGGTCCTAATTGGACTTATAAACTTTGAAAGACAAAAATATGGGACAAAATTCTCAACCCTTAAAGCTGATTT